TGCGTTTAGGCCAGGGTTTGACTTCGTGTGGACGGGGCCTAAGAAGATCAAAACAGGATATGTTTTACTATCAGGTTGCTCCACTCTATTTTTTTTTTTATCCAGTAAATTCTCAGCAAACCTCGTGTCCTTTTTGCGTTTTCTCCCTTCTCTTCTGTTGTGCTGCAAGACTCCAGTTATTGTTACTGACCAATAATCTGTAAAGAAAACCTACTGAGAGAGATTGCCACAGTTTTGGACAACCTTCTCAACGACACAAAGTTGGGGATAGATCCAGCTGTGAAATCCCTCTAAATGAGCGACAGCTGCGTCTGGCTGGAGCTCCCCTGACTCTTGTCTTTGGATGGAAGGAGCTTTATTTGGGAAATAGCTGCAATCTGAGCCAAACCAAAGTAACTCTGGCTCTTAGTCCACTTCCATCAACCGTGTTCCCACTGGAGATAATTGTGAATGTAGGGGAACAATCGGGGTCTCCCTTAGAGAAGAACTGCAACAGAAAGTAAACAGTTTCACTGCCAACAGAGCAGTAGACTCATCACATCAGCTAGAAGAAGTGGAGAGAGTTTCTCGTAAAAAAAAAGTTGGCCGTTTGTGTGGAATCCCCCCTCTCTGTTGCTGACTCAGTTGATCCATGTGTTTTCAATTCTGAAAATTGAGGCTTTCCCACCTAAACCTGCAGCACGTCTTATGTTCTTGCACTCAGATGCACCACTTGGGGTTTATTTTGCATTCAAGACAAAATACCAAAAGTAAAACTAAATAAGAGATCAAAGAAGAAACAAATGAGAATGAAGAGGTACAAGAGGGGTTGACAAATCTGACAGATAAAAGAAAGTTTTAGATCAACTCAAGGGTAAAAATGTGCTTAATCTGAGCACGATGAATTAATGAATGTAGGGAGGAGGCGTTTATTGGTCTATACTGTTAGGTTTATTCAATGATGATTATAAAATTATGTTTATGAAACATTTGTGCGAGGGGATGCTCCACTCCTGTCTCATAATTCAGTCAGGAGACCATCCTGCCTTGTCATTCTGATGGAGCATTCTGTCTTCATGAACCGATCAATTGTTCTGTCAGAACAATACTCTATTTGTAACCATGTGTCATGTTCTGTTAATAAAACGCTCTGCGGAGGAGTAGTTCAGTGGGAGACGGTGTGTTTGAGTCTGGGGTTCAACTGTCTCTCCTTCCTGCAGGAATTGTATCCATAATTGTGTATTTCAGTTGTTCTTTTGCAAAAACCTAAGTTGCATGCAGTTTGTTTCTTTAAGTCTAACATTAGCAGCAAATGAACTAACCTGCCTTCGTCTCTGTGATTACTCAATGAGTGTCTCTGAGATGACCTACAAACTCTGCTTTCAAGTATGCAGGCTGGTGGGACAGGAAGTGGTTTTAACTCATAAAAGCACAAATCCCTTCGTCAAGCTAGCGTATAACTAACAACATGCAGTTTTCAGGTGATTCTTTTTTTCCCCACTCTATAAAGCCTCAAACACTTTTAATTGAAAAAGCTTCCTGGATGGGAAGCGAAACGTCTTCAAATTTGGAAACAAATTCCAGTGGATTGTTTAACTTTTTGTGGAATAACTGTTAAGTTAACATATTAGCACAGTCTTTTCAGAAGATAAACAATCTTTTTTCTGTTTTTTCTTTTCCTTTCCTAGATGGTCAGCAAATCTGGGAGGCGGAAGCAACAGTGGACAAAGATAAGAGCCAACCTGTACGTAATATGCATGTTTCTATTTCTTTTGGTTCCATACATTGCCTCAAAAAACTTTTTTTTTGTTTTGTTTTTTTAGAAGAAGCATTTTTTAACACAATAGCTTCATTTCAGGAGCTCAAACGTAATCAGATTAAAAAAATACTGTAAGGAGTGAAATGGTGATTCTTCTTTTGACCACCGGTTTTCTCTTTTTTTAAATGCTTTGTTAGGTCTGCAGTGTTATAAGTTTTCTTTGCTGTTTTATTTTGGGCTTTTTATGTTATAAGTTTAGTCTTTAACAAGTGATGGATGCTTTTTTTGGGTTCAGATCAACATTCTTTTCTTTGATAAGCTTGTAGGTCATATTTTTTGTATATTCTGGGTCATAATTCATCTGTATCTGTTATTCAGCTTAATTTGAGCAGACGGGATGTCTCTGAACATCTTGTAGTGTCTCTGCCAGCCAGCAGGCGCAGCCATGTTTTACAGACAGTCAGTATGCTCTAAGGTCTGGTTGCTGATCCAGACATATTGTCATTTATCTGTGCAAAGGAAGCTCTTCCATCTACTGCTTGTTTAAATGTTCTTTTTAGCAAAGTCTAACCTGTCCTTCCCGTTCTGGAGGCTTTTGAATGGTTTGCAACTTGCAGTAAATCTTCTTTGTCGTCGATGTTCATGCATCTTGTCTTTATGGTACTTGGATGTCGATATTCGTACATCTTGAAGGGGATCATCTTTACCTGGTTGGCTGTGGTGAAGGTTGTTTTTACCATCTGCTGTACGTTCAAAGCAGCATCTCCCAAATGTAAACACCAAAGATTTGATCTACTTAATGGATGATTACATCACAAAGGGATTAAATATGTCTGCTCCTTTTGTATGGAAGCAAATCGTTACCATATTTCAAATGAAAAAGCATTTTCAGAGATGCTTTTAATTTTAAGAATGTGGCTGCATTGTACGTATTTGCTGGGGTACATTTTGAAAAATAAATCTCAAATGTCTTTTTCTTTTTCATTTTAATTAAGTAAAAGGATGAGCAGTGTTGAAAAAGAAAATGAAAATAGGATGATTGGTTACTAATTTCATTTATGAGCCAAACAATGCAGCCACATTCTTAAAATGAAAAGCGTCTCTGACAATGCTTTTTCATTTTAATTAAGTAAAAGGATGAGCAGTGTTGAAAAAGAAAATGAAAATAGGATGATTGGTTACTAATTTCATTTATGAGCCAAACAATGCAGCCACATTCTTAAAATGACAAAGCATTTCTGGAAATAATTTTTCATTTTCAAAATTTTACATTTCAAA